TTACTAAACGTCATGCAAATATATAAAAACTAAACTATTTGTAGATGAATGAATATTATATTGGTTTTCATGAAATCCCTGCACTCCTCCCATTGTCCATATCATTGATTCGCTTCTCCAAAACACGAATATAAGCCACAGCATCCTTCACATCATTCTTCAACTCATGGATCTCATTCTTCATATTCTCGACATCAGCATTTTGTGACTGCTCACTAGTTGTATGTGCCTCCGAAGAATTGCCTGGAATAGGGACTGAACTGCCATACGAACCCAATCCATAAATGTTTCCTTGCTTGTCATGTCCTCCAACAGATTCATAGTATATTTCATTATCATTCACATTCTCTCCGGCTTGAGACAAAAACTCTCGTTGTAACTCAACTTCATCCTGCATAGTATATAAGTATGTATATAGTTCATAATTGCTATCATCAGTATATAACACAACATAGACGCACATGTAAAACATGGTATTGCTAATTGAATTCATTCAACCAAACTCATTCAAATAAAAAACTTACATGAACTTTTTGTGCCTTTTCACCAATAAACGTTTCCTCATCGTGATTAGTCGTATGTGTATAGGTGAATAATTCATAAAATGTCACCGTGCGTCCTCTTTTCCGCTTCTGCATATACAGTATCCATTTAATATAGTGTATATTACATTAAAAATATAACAATTAAAAATGACAGAGTTTCCCTGCATATGCCATATTTTCCTTGTTAAAATGCAGCAATAAACGACTCCAAATCATGTATCTTATACATACTTACTGCTACAAACCAGTTTAAGCAAGCCATCACCAATATGTTTATACTTTCTTACGGCTTAAACGTTAAAGCAAAGAACTATGGACAATGAAATATATATATATATATTTCAACATGCAACAATAAAGGCCCTCAAATCAAATATCTTTTACATGCTTACTGCTGAAAACCGATCTAAGTCATCATCGATATATTATACGAAGTACTTTTTTTACTAGCACTTTAAACAAGAAATATGAATAACCAAATAATAAATAACTACTCTACATCTTTTCTTTCATTTATATACCACTATATGGAGTGGTTTTTTTCTTTAGGTTACTATCAACAACAAATGTTCCTACTTACGTATAGCAACACAAATAAAACATCAACAATGATCTGCACCAGCCACAAGGAACTTACAAGTAGTTCAGCAACTTTTTTATGAGACATGGAACCAGTGGTATGTGTGGATGGAGCAGGTCTCTCTAGATCACCTCCACGCCTATTTTTCTTAGCCTGCAGTGACTTTTCCTGACTTTCTTCAGAATTCCAGAACTCATTCCACTTCTTCCATGTATCCAGTGGAATATAGTTAGGCTTCTCTTTGTCTTTCATCCGGGATAAGTAGTCTCCATACCTTCCTTTGGCTTTTACTTCCCATGCAATGTATACTAAAGAAGTAGTTCTTGGGTCCCACTCAAAATGTTTCTATAATTTAAGTATATATATTAAAGCAATAAAATCAAGTTAAATGTGAGAAAATAGAGTTCGAAATAAAACAATTGAATTTAAAAGATTTCCTTACTCAATCTATAAATAACAATAACAGTAATAAGTCACTAAACTCCTCCGATGAGCTTGAAATGAAATAACATTAATTTAAAAACTTACTTTGAACTCCTCCCAATAAAACATAACAGTTTCATCACTAAGGTATTTCCAGGCATAGCCAATAGGATCTACTCTTTCATGGAATAGCTTGGTAATCCTCCTTGAACACTTATCAGAAGGGACTAATCTATATCAAAGAAAGCGATGAAATTTTAGTAGAGAAAAAACATAGAGAAAAAAATCTGCAATCATAAGTTCAGTATAAGAATATCTTTAACTTACTGCCTATCTTGCACACCAATCCAAGTGCGTCCATTTGGACCTTTGCTGCCAAATGTAATATTTTGGGGTGCCACCGACTCATTTCGTACTTCTGATTCACTTGTATGTGTTGTGGGTGCACAAGTCGCTGCTTGAGGTGTTGGTGTGGATGTAGACGGTACTGCAGAAACCACAGGTTGTGTAGATGATGGTTCTGTTGTTTGAGGTGTTGTGTGCAGTTCATGGGATTGAGGTACATTGACAGCTTGAGATGTGGTTGCCATCAAAAGTCTAGCTCCTGTACGCCCTCCACGTGAATAGCGTTGTGTTTGAGCCCTGCCTCCCCTCATTGATAAGTTTAGTATCTTTTCTGCAAAATTGGCATTAGAAGCAAACGAACCCCAATCTATAATACTAGTAAAAGTTAAATATGCATGCATAGATATTGAACCTTAGAATTGTTTTGTCACATTGAATAGAGCAATCACATGTGTGATATTAATGTCCTCATAGCCTTGTATAAAAAACACTAGTATCATTAAAAATTAAAAACAGTAGAATAGCATAAAATTAAAACAAAATGTCTGAGAGTATTTCTCTTAATAGAATAAAAAACTATGCCCTAATATAAAACCCTTATAGTCCTAATTAAAATCTAATCACTATAATAATCCTCATCGTACTCATCTTCATCTTCATCTGAAGACGAATTTGAGTCAAACTCAGGCTCATTGTCCTCCTCGTCATCATCATCGTCGTCAACATCATCTCCTGAATTAAGAGATGATGTTTGATGTTTGTGTATTATAACTGTTCAAGTCTGGTTTGGTCTGGTCTGAGACAAAAAACGATCCAAATAAAAACATTCCTGATCCAGTCTGAATCGGTCTATTTTATATTATTGGTCTGGTCCATAATATTACAGCCATTAAATTCTGATTTGGTTTGATCTAATTTGCTTAAGATTGGTCTGGTCCACTCAGATTTGTAGAGAAGGGAGGGTGTTGCGTCATCATGTTTGTGGTGGGAATAGAAATTTCCGGCGCCGTGGTAACATCGGCTGCGACGGAACCCATGGTGGTGGAAACCACTGCTGCGGCCGTAGACATTGAGAAACGAGGGAGGCGGCCGAAAAAAAAAGGAGAGAAAAATAGGTCAGGCTCGTGATACCATGTGAAATAATGGGAAATGATTTTTTTTACCCTTAGGAGCCCAGGCAGGTATATTTATAATAAAATATAAGTTTCCAAAATACACAATCTTCCTAAAATATATCAGCTATTAGTTTCAATCTAATTAAATACATCCTTATAATTACAAATTAAAATATATTTTTATGAACTATGTTAAATGTTCTAGAAATAAAAAATTGATGAATCATACGTAAAATTAGAGATCGAAATTAAGTGAACTCCATTAATATGTAAATAGTACATTTAGAATGTCACTTTAAAACTAAATTAGTACGAAGCATAGTACAAAATATAGTTTTGAAGGCAAGTACAGAACATACATTAATTTAAATGTTATAAAATTGAGGGTACAATATTTCATAGTACTGTACCGTTGCAAGATGCAAAATACAATTTAGGCTGTATACTAATATCCCGAATAAGATTTGTGTTGCAATTTTTGTATGAAGAGATACACTTCAAAAGAAATTGCGATGGGATGTATATTTCACAATTTCTAAAGCAATAATAAACTAAAGTTATCTCACCACGGTTAAACAATCGACTCAAGTTAATTCTGACGACGACGGAAATTAATTATGTAGCGAATTTGGTCACAAAGTGTTACTACGGAATTAGTTTCAACGCTAACACAGTTGTTAAATTATTCCCCCCAAAACTTGGCGCCAAGTTTTTTCGCAATTTGGTGAGTTTTGCAACCCAAATGTATTCGGTCGTCAATTACGTAGTCAAATTGCTATGGAATATGTGTCGTAGCAAATTCCATCACAAAATAGCTACGGATTTTGTTTTGTCGTTACATTCAGTCGCAAATTTGGAATTTTCTTGTAGTGTATTCTAATCTAACCTCTAGGTACGTACAAAGAAAATGTTACAATAAATTATTTGTACAAATAATTAGTAATAATAGTAACGGCTAACACCCCCCCTCAAGATGGAGCATGTGGGTCGCAAATGCCCATCTTGCCAAGTAGATAGGAAAATTGATGTGCTCCAAGTGCTTTAGTAAGTAAGTCCGCCGGTTGGTCCGTAGTAGGTGTGTAAGAGGGCAGAATAGTACCGGCCTGAATGTGATCACGTATAAAATGGCAATCAAGCTCAATATGCTTTGTTCGCTCGTGATACACCGGATTGGAAGCGATATGTAGAGCAGCCTGATTATCGCAGAAGAGTCGAACCGCACCCGAGTGTGTGACTCCCAGTGAATGAAGCAAGTTCCGTAACCAAATTAGTTCACATGTTAGAGACGCCATGGACCTGTATTCAGCTTCCGCAGAGGACCGAGAGACTGTAGCTTGCTTCTTGGTCTTCCATGATACGGGAGAAAAACCAAGAGAAACAAAGTAACCTGTAACTGACCGACGAGTGACTGGACAACTTGCCCAATCAGCATCACAATAACCAGTAAGTGAAAGAGGGGAATCGGACCGTAACAAAATCCCTTGCCCGGGTCGCCCTTTAAGATATTTAAGGACACGGAGCACCGCTTCCCAATGAGCCATCCTGGGTTTTTGCATAAATTGTGAAAGGATATGAACAGAATAGCATATGTCAGGTCTGGTCAAAGTCAAATAGATAAGTTTTCCAACAAGCCTCCGGTAGCGCTCAGGTTCAGAAAAAAATGCACTAGAATCAGACTGCAATCGATGATGTTGCCCCATAGGAAAAGCAACCGGCTTGCACCCAGATAGCCCTGTCTCAGTCAAGATGTCAAGGACATATTTGCGTTGGCAAAGAAAAATCCCCGTGGGGTTCCTGGCTACCTCGATCCCGAGGAAATATTTCATGGTTCCCAAATCCTTAACAGGAAATGTGGAGGCAAGAAATGTTTTGAATTCTGCAATCATGGTTCGGTCATTGCCGGTGATTAATAAATCATCGACATATATGAGCACACATAAGATTTGACTACCTTTGCGTTTGGTGAACAAAGAATAGTCGGCATGAGATTGCGTAAAACCATAGTTACATAAGGAGGAAGTGAGCTTAGAAAACCAACATCTAGGCGCCTGCCGAAGTCCATAAAGAGAGCGAAGCAAGTGACAAACCTTACCGGGAGATGAAGAAGAATACCCCGGCGGCAGATGCATGTATACTTCTTCACGAAGATCTCCATGAAGGAAGGCATTATCTACATCCATCTGATGTAACTCCCAATGACATGAGGCTGCCACCGCCAAAACCGTGCGCACCGTAACCATCTTAGCAACAGGTGCAAATGTCTCTCCATAGTCAATGCCTTCCACCTGGCGGTTCCCGCAAACAACCAGTCGCGCTTTATATCGCTCCACTGTCCCATCACTTTTATACTTGATCTTGTACACCCACTTGCAAAAAATAGCTCTTTTCCCGGGTGGTAAATCCTGAATCTTTCATGTACCTGTACGTTCAAGAGCCTGAATCTCACGACTCATTGCCTCTCTCCAACGAGGATCGCGGACAGCTTCTCCAAAGGTACTGGGCTCCTTGTTCAATGTAATAGCTGCAAGAAAAGCTCGGTGCGCGACCGAAAAGTGATCATATTTTATATAATGAGATAGTGAATAAGGATTACCTGAATCTGCCGTAAGAGTTGATGTGCAAACGGGGGAAGAGTTTATTTTAACCGTGTTTAACTGAACATCATAATCTTGGTGCCACGTCGGAACCCTGCGCGGACGTGCACTTCGGCGAAGCTGATCATGATCAGGAGAGGGAATAGTACTGTCCATGCCGTTGTCAGACGTAGTCTCCATGTCGTGCCCAGCAGATGTCCGTGTCTCCATGCCTTCCTCATCCTCCATATTTGTGGAGTCAAAGACTCCTCTTCTGTCCGTCCGTGCATGTTCATGAGACATGTCAGACTCCTCACACGTGTGGAGTGTTGTTTTCTCATCAGTGGCACGTACATAGTGCTCCCATGTACGCATGTCATTCCCTGCATGATTGTCAGAATCCAAAGGAGGTTCCCTTGACTTAAAGGGAAATTCATGTTCAACAAATTTTACGTCACGTGAGACAAAGTGTCGCCGATTCTGTAAATCAAAAACCTTCCAGCCCTTTTGTGAGTAGGAATATCCCAAAAAACACACCTCACACCACGAGGTCCAAATTTATCTCCTCCATTGTTTGGCTCATGTGCGTAGCAAAGACAACCAAACACCCGCAATTGGCTATAAATTGGTATTTTGTTATACAACAATTCATAAGGACTTTTATTATCTATTACGGGGGAGGGCAAACGATTTATTAAATATCCCGCCGTCAACACACACTCACCCCAAAACTCAATGGGCAAGTTTGCATGAAACCGGAGAGTTCTAGCCATTTCCAAAATATGTCTATGTTTTCTTTCAACCCTACCATTCTGTTGAGGGGTGTATACACAACTGGTCTGAAAAATGATGCCGTTAGTCAAGAAATAGTCCTGTAGACTAACAAATTCCTTTCCATTATCACTTCTCACTACTTTCACATTTTTATTAAACTGTCGATTAGTCATGGCCAGGAATTGTTTAAGAATAATTTTGACTTCACCCTTGTCTCGCATCAAATGTACCCAAACAGCTCTAGAAAAATCATCCACCACAGTCAAAAAATATCGAGCACCACAAGTAGACTTAACACGATAAGGTCCCCAAATATCACAGTGTATTAACTCAAAAGGTTCAACGGCTCTACCACTACTAACAATAAAACTATCACGTGTTTGCTTGCCTCTCATACATGCATCACAAACTTTATTTTGAACAGAATTCAACAACACTTTATTTAAATAACCAAGTGACCGTAGTACTTTCAGTGACGGATGACCCAACCTTGAGTGCCACAAATCACCAGAGTCTGAACTTCCCACCGCATATGCCTGTGCTTGGTCCAGTCCCCGGAAAAAATAAACTCCCCCTCGTCGTTCACCCACTCCAATCGGCATCCTCGTAGGTAGGTCCTGTATCACACACAAATCATTAGTAAAAATTACATCACATTTTCGGTTATCAATTAATTTCGCCAAGGAAATTAAATTGCATTTTAGTCCAGGTACAAGTAGAACATTAATTAAATTTAAACTTGCACTAAGGACCACACTTCCAACGTGGGTAGCTTTGGTACGTTCGCCATTCGGCAGTACCACATCTACCGGTGCAATTCGCACCATCTCCGTCAAAACTTCATCATTCCCGGTCATGTGATACGACGCTCCCGAGTCGAGAAGCCACTCGTTGTCTAGATTCATACCTGAAAGTTTTTCCCCCGAGGAGGAGGAGGAATTCTTACAACTTTCCATTATTTTGAGAAAAGTCTGCCACTGTTCGTTTGAGAATCCTGGTGCATGCATGGTTGTTTCCTTCGTTCCTTGTGCAGGTGCAGCATCTCCCTGGACCTCGCCCATATGCATGGCATGAGCAATTCCTCGTCCATAACCTCTGCCTGAGCCTCCACGTCCAGTCCCTCCGCGATTGGGGCCTCCACGTCCTTTTCCTCCTCGCGCACGACCCGGATTCTCATGCCACCAGTCCGGGTAATTCCCGGTTCTCCTGAAACAGTTATCATAATCATGTCCAGGTTTCTGACAATATGAGCACTTCATTCGTTCCTCCTTCCCAGGAGTAATCCCGGTGCGTGCAGCAAACGCCATGGCATCATGGTTTTCTTCTCGCCCACGGGTCATGTTCCGCAGTCTTTCTTCCTGCACCATCATGTTGTATACCTTAGTCAAGGGCGGCAGATCATCCGCGCTAAGAACATTAGAACGTAAAGTTCCATAGGCCTCGGTATTAAGTCCCATCAAAAAATCATGTGTTTTCTCGGTTTCAATATGCTTGAGAAATAATTTTTTGATTCCGCAAGTACACCCATTACAAGTGCATTGTGGTATGTTTCTGAGTCCGTCGTAATCGTCCCAAAGCCCCTTGAGCTTCCCAAAATAGTCAGTAATCGTCTGCCCTTGTTGACGGCAACCCCGAATTAATTCCTTTAATTCATAAGTTCTCATCGCGTCCCTGACGGCAAAACGCGCCTCCAAGTCGTTCCATAGATCACAGACACTGTCCATATAGGCCAAGTTGGATCGGAGTGCCGGATCTGCCGAAGTCATAATCCAACCCACCGCCATGGAGTTGACAGTGTTCCAGTCTTCGAGGTCTCTTTCACTGTGCATGGGCTGTTTGATGGTTCCGTCTAGAAACCCCAATTTCCGCTTTGCGCGGAATGCATTCCTCATCGCCGTAGCCCATTCTCGATAATTGCTCTCACCCTTGAGAACAACGGCGCATATTTGTAGTCCAGGAAAATCCGAGCTCGACAGGTAGTATGGTGAGGACGGGTCGTTTATTTTCTGTCTCTCACCATGTTCACGATTTCCATCACCGGTGTTCCCTGTCTCGCCGGCCATCTTCGTCGCAGAATTGCGTGATCGGTCAGCCAAGGATCAACGCTCTGATACCATGTTAAACGAGAGCAGGAATGGAGAAAATATTTTGTGTTATTCTATCCTTGATCAACTGGACGATACGTCCATATATACATGAAGTACGCATGAGTATTTTACACGTACAAGGATGCCCATGCGTTGGTCAATCAGAAAAGAAAGGAAAGAAATTAAATGAGAGAAACATTCCTATTCTAATCTAACCTCTAGGTACGTACAAAGAAAATGTTACAATAAATTATTTGTACAAATAATTAGTAATAATAGTAACGGCTAACATTTTTGTTTCCATACAAGGATGATCGAGATCATGAGATGGTGAAAGGTCTTCAACAGATTTATTGAATGGTAGCTTATACTAGTATTGACTACTTGCAAGTTAAGAAAGAATGAGCACTATTTATAGTGTGAAAGTGAGTTGCGATATTACTCCGTATTGGTTTTGCCTATTCTCTCTTCCAATGGCCCATGAGCGCTATTTTATTCGTGAAAGACTGAGAGGTACGTTTATACTGATTTTGCCTATTTTATACGGCTCTCGTCTAAAACACGTTTTGATAGTCAATTTGATGTTTGCTTCTCGATTGAAACGTTTGACGTGCACATATGTTGGTTTCAAGTAAGCAAATGGTTCACCATGGTTAAAATGAAGCTCATTCGTGGAACTTACACAAGCGTTTTACAAAAAGTGTACAAAAAAGACGTACAAACTTAAATTAATTAAAAGAGTTGGTGAGATCTCGAAAGCATAACAAATCAATGGATCATGAAACTAATCATTATCATTCAAGAATCAACCCAAACTTTCATTATCATTGTCATTCAAGAATCAACCCAAACTTTTGAAAATTGTTCGAACAATTCGATAGGTTTTCAACTCTAATCTATACACCATCAAACACAAGAAATCGTACTTAATTGATTATTTCACGTGTCCTTGCTCTTAGGTTCCTACCGCAGTAGCACAGCTCTTGGAACAACCACCACCGATAATTTCCTAAATAAGAGTAAATAAAAGGCAACTTGTTAGTATATGAGTAAAGTTTAGAAACTCTCCGAATAGGAGTTATCATGTGTGATTGCACAAAAATATCACTAGTACTTGCTCATCTCCACATTGGCGTATCCAGGGAATATCATGAGTGGGGACGAACTCACGTACCCTAAATATTTTCCCAAGCATGTCATATGTAGTTGAACACCTTATGAACTATATTTTGAAATTAGTTATTTTTTTGAAACAAGGCGGCTTAAATTGATATCACAGCATTCAGCCAAGGAACAAGAAGACAAAAGGACCACTTCCAACCACCGACCCTCGAACCAAACTTAAAGCCAATCACCCTGGACAAAGCAATATAATTTGTTGATCCTGTAATGGGTCTAAATGAGTCTAACGTGGTTAGAGTGAACCCCCTCATCACCCCAACCTAATGCAAGAGTCTGGCTGAAATAAAAATAGCAGAAGACAACAACGACAATGTTCTTGCCTAAAAAACTCAAAAAGAGTAAAACAAAATTTAATAAAATAAACTGACAGAGCAACTGAATCCATGCTTCAAACATTATCCTCGGCGGTGGCTCAGGAGGGGGACGGATCATCAACCCTTCATCTTGAAACATTCCCTACAAGCCCACCACCACAATTTCCAATGGCATCTCCTTAATCCCTGCGATTATAGCACGAGTGAACCCGGAATCCATGCTTAATGGAGTCTCCCCAATCGAAACCAGTAGCACAAGCGAGGAGTCCATAACCCGAGCAAAAAGCACAATCCAAATTTGCTTCTTCCTGCTTACCCTCCAAAACGCCCGAGCCAATACCCTGCTACGTTCGAAACCTCCCAAACTCGTCGATCAACAACCTGCAGCGCAACAGTCCACCAAAGTCCGTGATTCCTTCTCAAAGCCCGCAAGTCCGAAATCGAAAACCTGCACAATGATAGAGAAACAAGGGATTCCAACGACTGGAATAAAGGAATCCGCCGAGGCAAGATCCGATTTGCCAAACAAACTGACGAAAAACTCAAAAGTTGCGCATTCCAACCCTAATTGCTAGGGAGACGACCGCGGCTTGGGGATTACTTTTGCATATAAAGTTCGATGAAATCTAAAAACATCATTGTGAAATTAGTTATAGATAACAAAATATTCATTCGAATAAAAACATGTAATCGTGTTTGAAACATTTGAATAAGAAACGAATAATGTATGTATGTAAAATTCATGTAAATTATGCACGCGCAATTATATCAGTTTATATTAAGTTCAAAAATATAAGTAGCAATTACTAGACTGTATAAATTACGTGCAAATAAAAATTTAACTGTATAAATTACGTGCGAATAAAAAATTAAAATGAACTAGTTTAAATCATGCAAACCAAAAAAAATTGATAGGAATTATGTACCTCTACTTTAAATTTGGTTTAAGCTTAAAAAATGGAGAACTTTAAAGAAAGTGGATAAAAAATAAATATATGTAAAGGGAAGTTAGGAAGGATTTCGAACCCTTGATCTGTGGGACGAAGAGTACGCATGTAGCTACCGCTTCCGTTGGGCCATAGTCATTTTAGAAATCAACATAAATAGGAGTAAAAACGTTTTGAAATTTTAAAATAAGACTTTCACATTTGTATTCCCTAAATAGGAGTAATTCTGCCAAGTTTGGAAAAAATGCCAGGTTTAAAGCCTAGTAATGCCAAACTTGGCAGAAATTTACTCCTATTCAGAGAGTAAAAAACATGATAGTCTTATTTTCGAATTTCAAAACATTTTTACTTCTATTTAGGGAATTCTTTCTAGTCATTTTTAGTAGAAACAAAACATGATTTTTTTCAAAAATAGGACCAATTAGTTTAAACATTCTTAAATAGGATTTTTTTATGTGTGATTGGACCAAAATACCCCCACTGCTGCCTGCTGCTTGCTGCCGACCACCTGCAGCCGCTGCCGGACCGCTGGTTTCCGCCGGCCGTCGCTGGAAAACTTCCAGAAATTTTTTGTGGCTGTCGGCCAACGTTTCTGCTGTCGGCCACCATCGGATCAGTTCACCGCCGCCGAGCTGCCGCCACCACCGGACTGTCCCCCGCTACCAACGGACTGCCTAGCTTGATTGTGAAAGAGAACGGGGGGGGGCAATTAATTGGGTTAATTAATATAATATAATTGCCAAAGTTCGCCGCTGCGGCCGGAATCCGTCGTCGACCGCTGTCAGAGTGTTGCAGCCACCACGGACTGCCTTGGTTGTGCAAGGAAACTAGGTGGGCAATTATTTAGATCAATTAATTAATGAGAAAGTACCCGAAATAAGACTAAAACAGTTTGAAAATTCCAAAATAGGACTGTCATGTTTTTATTCGCAAAATAGGAGTAATTACTGTCAAGTTTGGAAAATACTGCCATGTTTGAAATCTGATACTGCCAAAACATGGCAGTAATTAGTTCTATTTTGGGAATAAAAATATGACAGTCCTATTTTGGAATTTTCAAACCTTTTTAGTTCTATTTTGGGTAATATTCTCTTAATTAATTAAATAGATAAGAGTAAAAAAGGTAAGGTTAGTCCTATTTAAGAAAAAACATGCATGTGGTCCTATTTTGGGAAAAAGAATGAATTTTGGTTCTATATTGGACAATTTTCTTTTTTTAGTATTCTTTTCATAATTAATGTATATAACATTCTTATAAATTAAATACAGATATATAGGATTTGGGTGGGGTTGAGTGAGAGCAGCTACCTCAACTGGTCTGGTAAATGTATGGTCTATATATGTGTGTTTTATAACTAAGGAGAGGGTTACACGTTCGAAACTCACTCAACCAAAGATGTTTGTGTTTAATAGAACATGTATTATATACGAGGTATATTTGAGGAAATGTACTTGATACTCTGTAGGGGTAGGGGGTGCATCATGTACAAACAATGCTTATTGTGCAAATATTTGTACGGTGTCTTTTTGCGTTATTTGTATTGCATATAACGTTCAATGTGTTGCATATTATTCTGCAATGAAATAAGTAGTTGCATACTAACATTCAAATATTGCATCTGAAAAAATTTGTTTTATAACCAAAATGTCGCCGTGCATCTATTGCCTTTTAGATCAACTCATCGGAGTGCCAGAATGAATTTCTAGTTTGAGAATTAGGACATGTTTGCATTTGATCCTT